GGTTTTTATCTGATCAATAGGTCAAGTCTTGCTCGTAATAACTCTCAAATTTGGCATTGTTTTCATGCAGATCTTAGCTATAGAATATTGATACGTATGCAGGGTGTTTCATGGGAGACTCCGGGATTTACACCTGAAATTAAACATTTGAAAGATTCTTGCCACTATTTATTGGGCGTCATAAAGAGTAATAACAGGAGATTTTGCTTTCAGCAATCGCTTCTAGATGGCTTGCCGAATGGTTTGAAGCTTCTGCACATTGCTTGACGTGGTTCATTCCCCCATGGAAGGTTGGACAGTGCACGAACGTGTTAAGGAAATTGAGCTTTTCGCTCAGATGAAGTCGATAACGTAGACGCAAAGGTCATTCCGTTGCGAATTGAATAGTCGCGATGCTCCGTCCGCGTGTTCAGAATACGACCTGCAACATGTGCGCAATTTGGAGAGTGCATCAGACGCGAGATTTCTGCCATTCTATTATACATGCTGCGACGAGCAATGCACAACATCATTAACCGTGCACAGGAGTGTATCGATCGTCACGGAGGACATTTGCTGGATGTTATTTACCGTTCAAGACCAAACTAAATAAAATCTCCTGTTATTACTCTTTACTAATTTTTACCTTTTTTATTTTATATGTAAATCCCGGAGTCTCCCATTAAACACCATGTACTATACATGAGCGTCTGAATGTCTGGCCTTTGCGGCTGTAGGATCCATTCTCGAGAATGGGAGAGAGAGAGACATTGTAAGTCTTGCGCCCCCCCCCCCCCCCCATCTCCTCCTACGAAGGGGATCTTCACACCTCGATGCGGACTTTTCCCCGGTGAAGTGTAAAACGTCTCCAAGTAAAATACTTTGAGCCTCCTTTCATCCCACTGGAGGAAGGATGACTTCCTTGCCGGGATGAGATCTTCGCCCCTATATGAATGGGTCACCCGACCCCTTTATTGATCGGAGCCCCGTCCTCGTATTGATCGGCATTCCCACAAGTAGAATCACTTCCGTTGGTGAAAGCGCTTGGATCCCATCTACATGGGATAGATGTCTTCGTGGATGGGAACCTAGCCTTTCTGCGGCAGCTGGCGTAACATTGGTAGGGCAAAGAGATGTACATAAAGGGTAAGTACCCGGATGTACTTTGACCGCCTCTACCTGAAATGGCTGCTATGGTACAGGGTCGCGATCGATACGGGAAAAATCTATAGTCTTCGTCCAGCGATGTTATTTACCCTTCGGGCAAACTCGATAGGAAAATAATTATACACGCTAAAATTAAGAGGGTGAACTGCACATTTATTATTGATCCTTCCTAGTTAACACTTACTCTCCCGTACTTAGTAGGACAAATCCATCCAGTACACTTTGTAGAAATAAGATCAAGTTCTGTGGAATTTAGGAAATGTTGTCATTAACCAATATATATATTTTTCAGGTGTGTTCGTGTGATTATTAGTGATTGCCTTTTCCTTTCGAATGGAACCACTCAATAAAGTGCTGTCCTCTGGGCAAGAACTTACTACACAAAATGCTGCCCAGATCCTACCCACTGCTGATGGCAGAGAGGACAGAAGGAAAACATTGAAATTCATATATGTCGAGGATGAAACACGACCACTTGTCCGAGATTCCGTGATGGACTGCATTCCAAAATACAAAGAAATATCAGAAATTGAAGCTAAATCAAGAGATAGATCTGAGTCCTTGCAAGGATACAATAATGGAATGGCTGACATTCAGAGGAAGCAGATTGAGCAATGGCTGCCAAGATCATCAGCCATTGAAAAAACCAAAGCGGATGCACTATTACCCAGGCATTCAATGGTTCCCCGACCTTGCTGTGTTGTCCTGTGTACCGTTCTTGCCTTCGTTGCAATTCTGTCATCGATTACTTTCTTTCCTTTGTTGTTCGTACAACCTGGAGTAGGTTCAGCTTTCTTAGTGAAATGTGACGGGAACGAACCATTGTGCATGACAAGTTCCTTTCGACCCCAGAATCTAGAAAAGATTCCTGGAACACCCCTGGAAGAAGTCGTGAATTTTAACACGGAATATTCCACATCCACAAGTAAGGCATCCAAAGATGATATAACCAGTTCAAAAAAACATCCTGCGGAACAGGACCATGGAAATACAATACGGAAAGAGTGCGGCTCTGAAGCAAAGTCAGAGAAGAAAGAAAGAAAACCCATGACACCAGCCACTCTAACAGTTCTCATAAATAAAGTAAAAAACTCATTGACGGACCTAGTGCATGACGTGAAATCAAAGGCAATAGATCCATCCAGTAAATCCGTTACTCATGATACAGTACGAACATACTCCTGAAGTTAATGTAATAAAGGTAATTAGGGTTCCTTTTTCAAACATGCTACAATAATATCATGCTCGCATCGGACAACTATTGAATATTTATGGCAATTGTATGTTTCTACTGTACTTAATTTAATTTATTTAGCGATATTTCGTTTTTAAATAAATATATTTATATTTCGTAATCTAGATCAGGGGTGTCCAACTCAAATCGGTCTGTGGGCCGTATTCTTCACCCTGCAGGTGCCTGCGGGCCGCACCTAATATAAATATATTATTTTATTACGATCCTGGGAATGCTCGAACCGCGACCCGTTAAGTTTTGGAAAACGGGCAAGAAAATGTATGTATGTATGTATTTATTTATTTTTATTTACCGAAATGTGTTTTTGTACCAACTTTGTAACACAGCAAATTTAAGTATTGACCAACAATGTCAGTTGTCAGCATGTACCAGCTTAAAAATTCAGACGTTTAAAAACTAGTTAGAAACAGACCCCCGTGTCAGCCAAATTCGATTCATCTTTGTAAAATATTTGCCATAGTTCTGTTAAGAAAAATGGAGAACATGGGTATAGTTAAAAAAAAAAAGGTGTTTTCAGCACACACACGTCACGAACTGGTAGTGCTACTCCTGGCCCCTCTTCGCTATAACGAGCACCTCGATGTTTGGTTCCAAGGACTGGGCCGAGGCCACGTTCAGGATGGCGTTCAAGAGCTTGTCACTGAGTTTGGAGCGAAGTTTTGACTTGTTGATGTTCATCACTGAGAATATCTGTTGGCACACATATGTGCTCGCAAACATGGATAGCACCATACAGTAAGAACATACTCCTGAAGTTAATGAAGTTAATAAATTTTTCTAAGAGTATCACGTTCTCGAGATTTCCCGGAGTCGTGAGAAACGTTCCCTGCAATTGCTCCTAATGCGTCTCATGAAGAAACCCACTTCTTTTCTAGCTTGGATATCTCACTCGAATCACAAAACCTCGCTAGTGCGGAAACGTTGCAACAACAACAAAAAAACACCGAGTTTAAATAAATATAATTAAAAAATGACTTGTGGTCATTACGGGCCTTTCGAACCTACAAGCCGTCTGTTGTCCTCTATTTCTTTTATCGCTGGATGTAGAGAATGTCTGGGCAAACCAGAGTGAAATTAACTATTTTCAAATCATGAACTATTATTTACTCAAGAACACATCCACACATGCACACAACCACACAAGCGCACACTCACCTTTCTTCCAGTGCCAAAATGAATCGCAGAAAAAGCCGAAAACAATCCCCGAGAGTTGGAATTTTCCCCATGCGATCAAATCAGGAAGCGATAGCCACATTTAAAATGGGGGAAATTATTCTACTTTTTTGAAAAAAAAAAAACTGAGAAAAGTCCTCTCCACGGAGAGGACATCTTTCCCCGAATACCATGCGGGATCTTCCCGTCTGAATGACTTACGACGACGGCGATCCATCCGCCATCGTTCTCTTCTTCCGGAAACCTTGCTTGTTCGAGTAAACGCCAGATGGCAGGGCTGCAGCGTCCAGCATTTCGTGACCCGAGTCTCTCCCTCTCGGGCGCCGATCGGAACGAGCCCTTGGGGATTTGTATTTGTAAAATTTGTAAAATTGCGAAATAAAGTTTTTTTCGCGAAAAGAATGGAAACGGTTCATCGGAGCAAGTTTGTCTCATGAAATGAATAAATCCTCAGTTGATAATAAAACTGCGAGAAAATTTTCCATCGCTCTGTATTAAGCGGTTTGTCCGCGAGAGTGCTAACAGTCACGCGGACGCGAACATTTTGCAATTCCAGCGAAAATGAACCGTTTATCGTGTTTTCAGAGCCGACGAACGAAAATAAAATGAGGAAGCTCGCGGCGAAACTCCCCTCTTCAAATTATCTCAACTGACAGCAGGAAGCTGTGGCCAAAATGCACGCGATCAAGAAAAACTCCACGCAGACACCGATTCGCTGGAAGCATCGAAGAATTTAGAACGATGCAACATGGCTTCTTTGATCTTGAAAACTGTCCGGTTTTTTTCGATCGCGCTTTTCGGTTTGGATCCCTTCCCTGAATGGGGCAGCAAGAAGCCGAGGTGCCTAAAATTATTAGAAAAAGAACTTCTGCACTCACGTTTGGTTTGTGAGAAGCTGGATAATAAGTTGTGAAGCCAATCCAGCCGATCCAAAACGTGGGGCTCACGTTCGACTGGATTTACTGTTCATTCTGGCCAAAATTGGAGACCCTTGGATCTCGGACGATGAGACTGCATCTACTGGCTGTGCCCGCCATTCTGGCTACAGTGATTCTCAAATCACAGTAGTAACTCTGGGGGCGAAGGGGATGGTGGTGTTTGTGCGGGTGGCCTCCATCTTCATGTAGCACTTAGCATTTATTTACTGCTTTGCCTGCATTCATCATAGATAGGGTTTGGAGTTTTCCCAGTCCATTGTAACGAAAGGGGCCAAAAACTCATTTAAAAAAACTTGTCAGCTAATTTGGCGTTTGTCGCATTATCCACGTAGCCATCGCCTTTGGCTATTCCCCTTAAGGGAAACATAACTAATTATAATTCATTTCTTCGGTGAGCTGCTTTGTTTGGCTTTCCAGACTACAAAAAAGAATAGATATATATAATCAGCAAAACTCCACAGCTTGTTCGATCCAAGAGTGAATGGCGAAATAGAAGTCGTGAACGGTATGGCAACACTGTAACGCTCGCTGCTTCCTTCTTTCCTCCATGCTTGGCTTTCCAGGTTGGTTCTTCCATCCTTGCCGCGTGCCTTCTGCTGAAGCCTTTTTAAAACGTTACCAAGGCGTTGAGTAGGCCTAGGCCGAACCCGCGGATTATATGATAAACCAGCTCAATCTAAGAAAGTTACATTAGGTATAACTCCTGTGCTAAATAGCCTGCGGAGGGCGTAATTTGGTGGTCCTACGGTGCTTCTTGAGATTCACCTGTAAATAATATCTATGCCAAAGCATAAGGATCCATGTCTGATAGGCCTAACTTCTGCTTTGAACTGGAGTGACTTCCTCACAAGTTGTCCAGCGGGCGGGTTTAAGGTAACTTTGCGTGTGTTCTTGATTACCAGTAGTGACACGCAAGAAGTAGGCCTCGCCCAAAGTGCCACATGGAAGAATGGTCTACACGTCAAATTATAGGATACAATTGCACATGTAATGAAAAGGAGTGAATTTGAGTGTCATTCCTGTAATAGTTATTTTATTTTATGCTAGGCCTCATCCCTATTAGTTGGTTGCCACATGGTCATTCCCCATGCGATACAACCAAGTTATTAATTTGTTGGAGTGAGTTAGAAACCAAAGTTGTACAAGTGGCCCCATTTACTCTATGGCTGATCTCACATCCATTGCCTGGTACTGGTGCCACTGCCCATGCTGATTGCGATGAGTAGATGAAGACCAAAAACCGTGGATGAATTACTAACCTACTCAGTTGGGCTTATGGTATTCCTTCGTCTTGTGCACACCTAGTTTGCACAGCCTTCGCCTTGTGCACACCTAGTTTTATTCCGTGCACACCAAACACGCACACTGCTAGAGGTGATTAAAGTCAGTTGCGGGCGTCATAGGTGTGCGTACTACAACCTACGACCGTTACTTTAGAAGTTAGTGCTGTTCTACTGGACTTCCACAGCGGAAAGCACTGCTTGACATAATGGTGAGCAGGTACATTTGGACAAGCTGAATCGTAGCTCTCTGGCTAAGCATCGTCCCGAAGGTCATACGATAGAGTTGCCATGTCAGGATCACGGACTGCCATTCTTCAGTGATTATGAAAATCCCACTTATGACACTGCATGAACATGTTTAAGCTCATATAGGCAGGCGTCACGTATCATCTTCCCATCTCGGATGAGATGAAGGTGATAGTGAGGGGGATGCCACCCTAAACAAAAACCGGTAAACTCCTTCCGGCTCAGGGACGGTTCCCTCGTGTGAACAGACTTCCCTTAGTTGCAAGAGTTCAACAGATACCAAAAGGAGTTTGGTGTTTTGTGCATGTGAAAAAGTGTGTGCTTAACTTGTGCATCCTGACAAAGGCATTGACGTTTGGGTGTACCGAGGTTTAGGCTGGCAATCGTAGAGACAATTGTATCTCCTATGCATGGGCAACAAGGGCTACCGTACCAGGTCCTTACGTTCATCCTGATTGCCGTCAGGGCTGCGCGTTCCGCGTTGAACATGTTTCTAGAGGTACATTCCTCATCGGGAAATAGTGTGCACGTAACGAAGTTGAGGTTTATATGCAGTGTGCACAAGACGAAGGAATACCGGGCTTATAAGGAGGACATTTTTGGCATTTTCTGTAAGGGATATCATGGAAGCTAGGGTTGGGTGGAAGTTGTGCCAATGGATTCGGTCATCCCTTGTCCCTATGAGTCAGATGTTTAACTTTTGTATTTTCTTGCCTCATTTAAGCTGGGCTGGGGGCCTCCTCTGTCATCCTTCATCTCTCATCCATGATTGGGGTGGGGAGGACAATCATGATGGGTAAAGAAGCTATCAGAGCATCCAACATTGGAGGCTCATGATATTAAACAGTAGTGATAGAATGTTTGTGGAAGCAGTGTTGGTGTGGGCCTATGTGACCTTCTTGGATGATCTGTTACAGCAGAATAGCACAAGCCATGACTGGCCTCTATCGATGACATAATTTTTCATATTGTCATTGAGAATCATTTACCAAGCTGAGCTGCAGCTACTTGTTTCTTTTTCTTAATTTGGCACATTTTTTTTTGCACACAAACACTGCCTGCTCATAAACCTGCTGATGCATTGACAAAGGCCCATCAGAAAATAATTGCTTTCTGTCACTGAACTTTAAATTGGGATTTATTTTTAGTTGCTGGTCAGTGAACTTGATTAACCTGTCTCCATTGTATAACTCCACCCATTGGAACCCAGACCAGTAATGTTAGTCTTTGCTGCTTGTGTCTTCCCTCTGGCTTCCAAAAGTCTAGTAACTGGTTCTGAGTGATAAATCAGTCTCCTACAGTGACATACAAGCTTCATTTGTCTTTCTTGTTGATTTCTGCAGGTTATTTCCACATTTGTGCTGTAGGGTTAATGCTAGAGCCACCTTACCTCATGTATTGTTAAATTTGGATGGAAAGTGTGTATGTGTCATTCTTACCCTGGTTGACAAGATATGAAAACTTTTTGAAAACATTGACAGCTCTAATCGTCAATGGTTTTAAATTGTCTTTCTTATTTTTTTATTTATTTTTGTTTTCATTTTGTTCATGACACATCCGGACTCCTAATGTCACTAATATTCACGGAATGGAAATGGAGTAGGAGCCTTTCTTACTAGAATAGGAGATTTGTGCCATATGTTATTCTTGGTTGTTAGCTGAGTTGATTCCTTGAGGATACATTTGAGAAATCATATTCAACTGAGAGGATAGGTTGAAACCACATTCTTTCTCTTATGGTCTTGGAACAGTTTGTTATTTGCAAGAATGGCCGGCATTTATGAAATATTTTTATAATAATCTATTTTCATGTTTTTTTTAATATTGGTTTTTGCTTTTTTTGTCAGGGGTTGGCTAAGCTTACTCAAGGTGAAGTCAGATCCACCGGTGGTGAGTGAAACCAACATCACATCATGGTGCAAAGACTGACATTCCGTCGCAGGTTGTCATACAACACACCCAGCAACAGACGGAAAATGTGAGCTTGTCATGTTTGAACCCATAAGTTGAAACTGGTCGGTGATGCTTAAGAGGTCTGGCTCTGATGTCATTAAGAGAGAGAGACATAAACATCATGCTCAATGGCAGTTCTTTTATTTGACTTGTGAAGTAAAATCATGGAAATATATGGATAAATGATGGTAAGTCTGTTAGAGTGTTTTGAGCCTTTGCTCTCTTGTGGATATATTATCATAAATGATGATAAATTTAACTTGATGTAGACATCCCTAGTTTTGAAATGTTTTTGAATACGTGTTGAATTTTTTTTTAACAGTGTAAGAACACCAGGTGGGAAATTGGTGTACTTGTACAAAAAGAAGCCAGGGAGCAGTCCTCGTTGTGGAGACTGCAAGCTGCGGCTGTGCGGCGTGAAGCGTGCGAGGCCCAGGGAACTCTCCCGCATGCCCAAGAGGCAGAAGAAGGTCTACCGAGCCTATGGTGGGGTTCTGTGTCATAAATGCCTTCGACAGAGGTCAGTTTGAGAGTCTTCCCTTTACATGGATTGCCATCTTTTCTGTAATTCTAATTAATTTGGCCTGCATGTATCTGGTCATCGTATGATGAATGGGTTAATGATCAAACAGACTATAACTGCTTGTCTTGCATGGTGAATGAGATGCTGTGGAAAATTGATAGCACTTCTGGTAACGGCATGGGCATTGAGACACGTAGTGTAGATGTTGAAGTGCCACCTATTGGTATTCACATCTTTTCATTTGCTGAAAAAATTGTTAAGTCATCTCTTTTAGCAGCTGAAAAGACTAGACTTTATATTCTGAATACCCATGAAACTGGATCAATTCTGAATGGGGATGTTAGGTAATGAAAATTATGTGGAAATGAATTGACTAACAATCACTGTCTCCATAGGACATGAAAATAAGCACCTCCATGATCACAGGAAACCCACCCCTTCAGACACTTTACCATATTGACAATGACAAAGAGTGCTCCTGATTGTGACTCGGTTAACCAACCTTCTTTGATTCAGGTGTGGGTCTTGGATTTGAAGCTGCAGGATGGATTTTGTGTCATGGCATTCCCCCTTGGCAGTCTTCTTGAAAGGGACTTGACTACTATTATGATATGCATTTATTATTTAGCTAAACACATTTCAATCACTTCGGTTAGAGATCTTACACAGGTTAGTCCTGTTCAGTTATAAAAAAAAAAGTATCTGAAGTTCTTCCAGTGCTGATTTTGTACATTTATGTACACTGATGAAAGCAAAGCATCATGCAATGCAGTACATAATTACTCCCTTTTCAGAAAATTTATGGATCCATAGTGCATTTGATTGCTTACCTTGCAGAATCCTTGACAAGGCACCAAGAGTTGACTTGCAAGTGTCACTGAGTTTCACTCACTTCTTTTTAACTTTCAATACCACTCTTCAGAACCTGATGATTTTTCATTTGATTAAAGTCATGCAAATATTTCGCCACTACGACTGAAAATATTAAATTTTGAGTCAATATACAGCAAGGAAGTGAAATTCTTGCAGCTAATAACCTTTTCTCCAACATTGTACTGGGAGCTTATGATAGATTCACGTATTGCCCACAGAGATGTAACAGATGGCTGGTTTATGTTTGGTCCATTTTAATATAGCTAATGTAGTTGTGCTTGTTTCGCAGAATTGATTTGTCTTTTAAAATTGGTTTGTTCTTAACTAAATGAGTCAGTGAAGGTGTAGCACAGAGATGCACAACCCCTGGCAGGCTGCATTCAATCTGCAAAGTTCCTTAGTGAATGTCCAAGTTTTGCACTCCTGGCGTAGCATGTCAGCTTAACAGCTTATGATGTTGCTGGGCCATATCTGAATTGCATGGTTCTGATGTAGTCAGTGCTATGCCCTTGTGATCATTCAACTTGGAATAATCCAATTAGAAGCATGGAAGAGGACTGCAAAAGCAAAACTAAAGAACTAAACATCATATTCCTATGGTCCACCACAACTTCTAGCTTGGGGGTTGCATCAATCAAATTCATCCAGTAGATTTAAATATTCATGAAGGACAATGTATAAGCACAGGATGTGAATTTATGGGATATTGACCTAAGCATAGGCCAAGTCATATGATTTCCCTTAATCAACGAATGGTCAAATAATGAAAATCTAATCTTTTTTATAATGCATGCTCATGAAGTTTCATTACATGTTCCTTTTTTTTAAGAGTAGGTTTTAATTGCTTATTGCATCCAGTATCATACCTGCTTTAGTTTGCCATACAACAAAGGGTGACAGGCATTTTTGTGCAAGTCTCTTAAGCATTCCACCTCAGCAAGAGCAATGCCATTATTAGTGCTCCCCAGTCCATATCATCTTGAGGCATTTCATCACACCACATTTTTTTTTATAAAGCCTGAAGAAAGCCTTCAATGAAGATGTACTTGTAGTTTTTTATGGAAAAATGTATTGCTCTTTGATAGTTTTTTTTCCTGAATGAGGTGCGAAAGATAGGATTGAGGCTTCCTGGGGTAAATGGTTGAAGTTGCATTATCAAGTTATACAGGGTGGCAAAAAAAAAAAAAAACAGGTCCACTTTTTAAACTGGCCTAGAACAGGAGCTATTGAAGCTAGCAGGTTCAAAAAAAGAACCAAATGAAAGTTCAATCCAAGCCCTTTCCAAAGATATATGGTTTGATGTCCATGGGTGCCATGGAATGGCTGTCATGGCCAATGGAAAAAATCATACCCCAAAAAAAGGTAGTAAAATGATGGGAAAATGATTGTTCCACCTCAACTAACATTTATTTATTCAAGTAATGTTCAATGTGTCCTCCTTTCTGGTCCACCACTGCTTGCAGTCTCTCTCTCCACATCAAAATTGCCTTGGCAATCTTATAACAATTGGACTTTTAGTCCAATTATTTCACGCAACAAATGAGCAAAGAAACATTTTGAACCAGGGTAAGTGTAAGCTGTAAGTAAGTGTAAGCGTATGTAAGAGTTAGCTTCAATAGTTCCTGTTCTAGACCAGTTTAAAAAGTGGACCTTTTTTTTTGTGCCACCCCCTGTGTCATGTGGTAAGATAAAGGTCTTTCATGCTGTGGCTCTGGGAGATCAAGTAGGCTTTGTTGGCAGCTGTTGTCAAAGGTGAAGAGGGCATATCCAGCATTACCTTGAATATTTGAGTTATGACAATCCTCTGGTCAATATAATGTACACTTTAAAGCAACTCATTTAGAATAGAATGGAAGAATTACTTTAACTTGTCAACATGTTGCTCATGCTGAAGTAAATCATCTTATTGCATTTTAATAATTTGCAGGAGTATATTGTAAAATGTTAATTATCATTTGAAATAAAGGTTGAACTTATTCTTGATGTATATGGCAGACAGAAGGCAATGCTTCGTTGCTGAAGTAAATCATCTTATTGCATTTTAATAATTTGCAGGAGTATATTGTAAAATGTTAATTATCATTTGAAATAAAGGTTGAACTTATTCTTGATGTATATGGCAGACAGAAGGCAATGCTTCGTCAACACTTTTTTTCACTCTTAACCTGCTGCATTTATCTGGTGCATGCTGGACTAGCAGGTGGTGATATATCATGCGTTTTATCTGAGGCCTTCATGATTCAAGGTTGACATTTTCCTGGAATAAACCATGAAAGGCATTGCTTCATTCCTGATGTGTTTGTTAGTACCAATTTTGTATGGATGTTTTGAGACCGAAGCCTTCGAATATGAGGGGTTGGCTCTTTTGAATTTGTGCTTGTTACGATTTACATGTGTTAAAAGTTTCTTCTAGTCAGTGGAGTCAACATTAAATAGTTTTTGGCATTTGAAGTTTTTGTTCAAGGGAACACATCCTTAAGGTTGTGTGCTTTTGTGTCAGTAGAAACATAAAAGCTCTGGTTACATATTGTCTTGCTAAACAACTTCATGGCATTCATGAGACCTATTTTGATTAAAGAACCTCCTAACTCTGTCTTTACAGGATAGTACGAGCCTTCCTCATCGAGGAGCAGAAATTGGTCGTGAAGGTCCTGAAGGCCCAGAAGGCAACAACAAAGCCTGTCCCCAAGAAGTGAAATGCACCTCATATTTAAGAGGGGTAAAAAAAAAGCAAACTATTGTTGGTCATCCTTTGAATAAGAGAACCTAAGGCAATGACACCAACAGCATTATTTATTTTCTTTATTGCATCTCCTGGAATGGAGGGAGCCCACTGCACTGATATCACACGTCCCCTCTCGTTCTTTGTCCACGGTAATCACAGATATTGATGACTTGGCTGAGGGAGAGCTGCTCTTTCACACAGATAAAAGCATATATGTGAGAGAGTGAGGGGGGGGAGGAAGATGAGGAGGAGGAGGCAGTGCAGGTACTGGTACATTTATGGGAAGGGACTTCATCAAGACTTGTCCTTGAACATGATATTGCAAAATTTAGAATTCTTCTTGTTCATCAGGTACGTGCAACCGGGGACCGGACGCGTGCGTCGGGCGATCTTTCGCAGCCGGTGTTGCTGCCCGATGATATGCTCTGCTTTCCTCACTGTGTGCCTGCATTGATAAAACCATACAAATGAGAGTTTAACAGACTGTGATCTTAAAATATATGGTAGGACAATGAAAAGTCAGTGATTAAATTCTGACTCTTGCAAGGTAAATTCATAAATATGAAAAATT